TTTTATTTATTAAAAGCCCACTAAGATTAGCATTAACAACACTTGGATTGATTTTGAAACGAGGCCACGGCTCCCGCATCACTTCAGGTTACATCTGTCAATCACCTGACTATGCCCAACGCATTTTGATTGAGTGTTTACTAAGAAGGCGCAGCAGTAGTTTTTTAAATATATATATATATATATATATATATAATTTTTTTTTTTTTCCATATAGGTTGTGGGAACACAATTATCTGCTAGCAGCCTCATTGTAATTTATCAACATAGATACTTACATGTGATTGGGATTATTTATTTTATGTGATTATATGCATAATACCACATTGATATATTAAGATTATACACACTGGTAGTGCGAGATAGACACTACATAAACTAATGACTACTTAAGGATCTGAGCATGAGTGAGCATTATGGTTCTATGACTTTTAACTTAGTTCAGTGAGACTGGCTTATTAAAAAAGATAACAATACTGTAAGTAGCTACCTTAAGTGCACTATTTCTGATAGATTTGTTGCTATAACAGCAGATATAGGTTGAAAAATGATGTTCCAAGCAGGGCCGAATCTAGCCTGTCTGATGTGGGGGTGCAGTAAAAAATGTCATGGGGGCAGAGGATGTGAGGTCAGTAGGGTAGTATACAGGGGGTCAGCAGGGCAGAGGATAGGCTCAGCAGTTCATAGAGCAGTCTACAGAAGCCATTAGTTTGTAGGACAGTGTACATGGGGTTATCAGAGCAGAGTAAACAACAAGTGCCAACAGAGCATATAACAGGGATCAGCAGGGTGGAGAAAAGGGGCTATCAGGTCCACAGGATGGAGGGCAGGGGTCAGCAGTGCAGATGACAGGGGTCAGCAGGGCAGTGTAAAAGGGTTAGCAGGGCAGACGACAATGGTCAGCAGAAAAGAGGACAGGGTCTCTGCTGGCAGAAGACTCAGCAGCGTGGTATATTCTAATGGTGGGCATACCACACACTTTTTCTGGCAGAGATTTCTTCTCTTTTTTTCATTCAGTCCACAGGCTGCATACACAAAAAAAAGAACATAGCATATATACTCAACAAGGATCAGCGATGTACTGGTACTTGTACATCACTGGACTTTGAATGGTTATACCAGGATGATGCCTACAGCTGCAGGCATCATTCTGGTATAATTTTTTTCAGCTGGCAATCGGCTTTTATGTAAAAGCAATTATAGTGGATAATTAGCTGCAGGATTGCTTTTACAAGCAGCAGAAGATGCCCCCTTCCACCACTGCCTTCCATGGCCTTCTCGGGCAGTCCTGTGCCATCAGGGGAACCTGAGAATGCAGCCGGTGTTTCTGCCAGCTGACCATAGAGCTGATTGGAGACCAGAATGGCGCCAGTCATCTCTATAGTCTAAGAAATCGGAAGCAACAAGCATTTCATCACTTCAGTTTAATAGGATATAAACAGCGCCATTTGTAAATTGGGAAAGCATCTGATCACACCGATCTTGGTTTGATTAGATAATGTAAGGGCAGAGGAGATATCTAGAGTCTGATAGACCCCAGATTTTTCAAAACAGAATATATGACAATGCCCATTGAAGTTATAGGGGATATTTGCATTCCCTGTGATAGCATTAACAGTGATTTAAAAAAAATGAAAGGGGCAGTGTACAAATAATTTAAAAAATCTAAATAACTTAAAAAAAAAAAAAAGCACCCTCGCCCCCCCCCCACGCGCGCACACCTGTAAACAGTGGTTGCACCATGCATGTGAGGTTTCGCCGTGAATGGCAGATCAAGGGCAGTAATTCTAACACTAGACCGCCTCTGTAAATCTAAAATGGTAGCTTAAAAGGCTTTTAAAACGTTGCCTATGGATATTAAAAATGTAGGCAGTTTGTCGCCATTGCAAGGGGCATGCGCAGTTTTAAATCATGTCATGTTTGGTATCTATTTACTCGGCATACCGTCATCTTTGATATTTTACCAAATAATTGGCCAATATATTGTGCTTTTGTGCATTAAAAGTAAAAAAAAGTGTATTTTCTTTTATTTGCTTTTGAAAAATCACTATGCGAGTACTATGTGACATAAAAAATTGTAGCACCCACCATTTTATTCACTAGGGTGTATATAAGTGTATATAATGTTTGGGGGTTTAAATTAACTTCCTAGCAAAAAATACAGATTTTTTCATATGAACAAAAAGTGTCAGAAAAGGCTTGATCTTCAGATGGTTAGAAGAGTGAGTGATGTGTGGCATAAACTTCTAATGCTGGGCATAAAATACCCCCACCCCACAAAACGACCCCTTTTTGGAAAGTAGACACCCCAAACTATTTGCTGAGAGGCATGTTGAATCAATAGAAGAATTTATTTTTTTACCACAAGTTTTTTTTTCCTCATTACACTTCCTGACTACCTATCACAGTTTTGGAGGCCCTGAAATGCCAGGATAGCACCAAACCTCCCCAAATGACCCCTTTTTGGAAAGTAGACACCCCAAGGAATTTGATAAGCATGGTGAGTATTTTGCAGATCTCATTTTTTCTCACAAGGGTTTGAAATATAAAAAAAGAACAGAAAGTATATGTTTTTGTTTTTCGCTCTTCATATTCAAAAAACTTGTGGCAACAAATGAGATTTGAAAAATAATCACCATGCTTCTTATCAAATGTCTACTTTCCAAAAAGGGGTCACTGGGGGGGGGGGTTGGTGCTATCCTGGCATTTCCGGGCCTCCAAAACTGTGATTGGTAGTCAAGAAGTGTAATGAGGAAATAAAGCCCTTTAAAAGCCTGAAGGTGTTTATTGGATTTTGGGGTCCTGTACTTGGCTAGACTGCCAAAAATGAAGAGAAAAAAAACAAAAAAATGAGATCTGCAAAATACTCACCATGCCTCTTTTTAAATTCCTTGGGATGTCTACTTTCCTAAAAGGGGTCATTTGGGGGGGTTTGGTGCTATCCTGGCATTTAAGGGCCTCTGAAACTGTCATAGATAGTGAGGAAGTGAAATGAGGAAGTTACGCACCTGCAGGCTTTCAAAGTGGTCATTGGATTTCAGGCTCCTGTATGTGGCTAGGCTCCCACAAATTCTCACCCATACTCAGTAGAAGTAGCAGAATGTATTTTGGGGTGTAATTTCACATATACCCATGACTTGTGCGAGAAATATATCATTTAAATGACAACTTTGTGTAAAAAAAAAAATGTTTGTCATTTTCCAGAAACTTGTGGAAAAAAAAAAAAAATCTTCCATGGACTCAATATGCCTCTCAGCAGATAGCTTAGGGTGTCTACTTTCCGAAAAGGCGTCATTTGGGGGTGTTTGTACTATCTTGGTATTTTGCCACCTCAAGAAATGCAATAAGAAGTCAAAGTAAAAGCTGTGTAAATTCCATTATCTATACCATAGTTTGTAGATGCTATAACTTTCACACAAAGCAATCAATATACACTTATGGGGATTTTTTTAACCAAAAACATGTAGCAGAATACATTTAGGCCTAAATTTATGCTGAAATTTTAGTTTTTGGAATATTTTTTATGACAGAAATGAGAAAATATTGTTTTTTTTTTTTTTTTTTTAAATTTCAAACATTTTTTGTTTATAGCGCCAAAAACAAAAAACACAGGTAATAAAATACCACCAAAAGAAAGCTCTATTTGTGTGAAAAAAGGACATAAATATCATTTATGTACCGTATTGCATGACTGCGCAATTGTCAGTTAAACTAGTGCAGCGCTGTATAGCAAACAAATGGCGTAAATTGCAGTATCTATACCATAGTTTGTAGACACTATAACTTTCACACAAAGCAATCAATAAACACTTCTTTGGATTTTTTTTACCAAAGACATGAAGCAGAATACATGTTGGCCTAAATTTATAACTAACATTGAGTTTACTATATATATTTTTATAGCCAAAAATAAAAAATATTATTTTTCTTCAAAATTTTTGGGTTTTTTTGTTTATAGCGCAAAAAATAAAAAACGCACAGGTGATCAAATACCACCAAAAGAAATCTATATTTGTGTGAAAAAGGGATGTAAATTTAGTTTGGGTACAGGATTGCATGACTGCGCAATTATCAGTTGAATTAGTGCAGCGCTGAGTAGCAAAAAGAGGCCTGGGCATTAAGGGGGGTAAATCCTCAGGAGGGCAAGTGGTTAAAGACATTGTCTCTGCTAAACATTATGAATTGTTAACCTTTGCACATTTGGAGTATATCTACCATGTAGCACACACTGGGCATTCTCCAAACATTCTTTGCGTAATTTTGTATTTTCATTAGAAATATTCTTACTGTCTGCGTTAAATATAGCAGCCTGCTGGACAAGAAATTTCACATTTTCAACTTCAGCTTTTAAAAACTCCACCTCATCTTCCAATTTTTGCTTCTGCTGAAAAACAGATTTGTATTGCTCTGATATCCAGCCAGCAGAAGAAATGAGTACATACTTCGCCTTATGTGTATTTAGCTTTTTATCACAAATCTTTTCATCCACCTATTTTTGTGCCTGCAACCATGGGTCAGCAGATCCTTGTATAGTATGAACAATAGCCTCAGTGTCATTTACTTGTGCCACCTTTTTGAAAAATTCCCTCCATTATTGAGATACACAAGTATACTCAGCACAAGGTCACCAAAGCAAGAGTAATGCCACCAAACACTGCTGTTTGTTGCACAATACACTTTAACAAGCAATACAAAAAAAAAGAAAAAAATACTTATACTCTCAACAAAAGTAACAACTATCCATACAACAATTAACTACTTGCCAACTGCAGATAGCTGAATGATGGCTACACTGCGGCCGGCCAGTTCTGGGAGGGCGTCATATGACGTCCTCCCAGAACGCGCCCTCCTGCGTGCCCCCGGGGGTGTGCACCCGGTGATCTCCGTGATCGTTGTGCCCTACGGACACAGCTGATCACGTGATGTGGTAAAAGGCCAATCACAGCGGCCTTTTACCACGTGATCAGCCTTGTCTAATGACACGCTGATCACCGGGAAATGCAATTGCCGGTTCTCGGCTGCACTTTTCTCACGCTGTCAGATCGTGAGGAAAGTGCTGCCGAGAACCAGCAGTTGTCAGAGCAGGGATCGGCACCGATCATCAGGGCACTGATGATCAGTGCCCTGATGATCGGTGCCCAGCAGTGCCACCCACCAGTTCCGCTCACCTGTGCCCAGCAGTGGCGCCCACCAGTTCCTCCCACCTGTGCCCAGCAGTGCGCCCACCTGTGCCCAGTAGTGCACCCACCTGTGCCAAACAGTGCACCCTCCTGTGCCCAGCAGTGCACCCACCTGTGCCACCCAGCAGTGCCACACACCTGTGCCCAGAAGTGCCACCTACCTGTGCCCACCCACCTGTGCCCGCCAGTGTCACCCACCTGTGCCCACCCACCTGTTCCCACCCGTGCCACCCACCAGTGCCCATCAGTGCATCCCGGCAGTGCTGCCAGTCAGTGCCACCAGTCAGTGCCCAGCGGTTGTGCCAGTCAGTGCCCAACAGTTGCGCCAGTCAATGCCTAGCAGTGGCTCCAGTCAGTGCCCAGCAGTGATGCCAGTCAGTGCCACCTATCAGTGCCGCCTATCCGTGACACCTCATTAGTGCTGCCTATCAGTGCCGCCTATCCGTGACACCTCAGTGCTGCCTACAAGTGCCGCCTATCAGTGCTGCCTATCAGTGCCCATCAGTGCCCATCAGTGCTGCCTATCATTGCCGCCTATTACTGCCCATCAGTGCTGCCTCATCAACGCACATCAGTGAAGGAGAAAAATTACCTGTTTGAAAAATTTTATAATAGAAACAAAGAAACTTTTTTTTCACATTTTTTGCACTTTTTTTGTTTATAGCGCAAAAAGTAAACTGCCCAGTGGTGATTAAATACCACCAAAAGAAAGCTCTATTTCTGAGATAAAAATGATACAATTTTCTATTAATATTAATATACTATTAATTAGATAAACAAGTTACCCTTTGAAGAATGATATTTACCATACTTAATACCTCTTTTAGCAGATGTTGACCAACTCCTTTCTGAGGAGCTATCTGCATTTTATCGCCCTTGCAAACTTGCAAATTACATAATAACAAGTTGGCCTCTGAGTCCCCAGGTTATCTTGCATAAAATTAACATAGCAAAGAGTTCTTGGCTGCTCTTGTGTAAAATACATCTAGCACATCTTGGTCAATAACGTGAGAATACACCACATAAAATATATATATATATATATATATATATATATATATATATTTTACAATATCCCTACACTCACCACCACTGGTTTCACCGACCGTCTACTCTCCCTGGCGTCGGCATCTTCAGTGTGGGCACCCAGCTGTGATAGCTTGATAGCCAGGTGCCCACTGCGCATGCGTGAGAAGCACTGCGCTTTGTGAATGGCCCTGTAGGCCATTCTACGGGGAGGGAGGGTAGGAGGACAATTTCTGCTTCCTATCGAGTGAGTGCGGTCAATATTATTTTTCACGTGGTGATTAGGTGGAAGCACATTTTGGAACATTGTCTTGAAAATCCTTTTGGGAAAATAAGGACTTATGTTTGAAATATTATATATATATTTTTGCACGGACATTTATTTATTTGTGATTATTTTTATTTATTTAATTTTTGCGCTGTTTTTTGTGTTATTTATTATTGGTGGTTTTCACTGGTGCACAGCTGCATAATTGTATACTTTCTTTGATTGGCGCTGGGATTTTTTAGTTTGTCTGCTTCCTATCGCCTAGGCGATCTCAGCGGAAGTGGGAGCAGGTACCTCTCAAATTCGGGTACCCGTTCCCCAAAGGTGCCAATCCTTAATGGGGAGCAGGGACAAGGCATTAAAGTGGAGCTTCCCCTTTTGGGTGGAGCTCTGCTTTAAATCTAAAAAGTTGACCATGCATTCATCACAGGAACCCATACATTTATAGTTGTTGTCCTACAGACTTGTTGATGGATCTGTACCAAGCCAAAATCGTGGATAGGTACACAAGCTATGCCCCCCAATCAAACAGCCAGGTATCTATGCTGTGCGTGCGTGTGCATTCTCAGCCTTCAGCACCAAAGAGTTTGTGGGTGGTTTTTCTGAAAAGTAGTATAGTTACATAGTTAGTCTGGCTGAAAAAAGACAAAAGCCCATCCACTTCAACCATTAAAAAAAGTTATAATCCTATACCCACTCTTGAAACCCAGCACAACCTAATTTAACAATTGTGTTAAATGTGTAAAATTGCACAATGGCAAATAGAATGTAGTTTTTTAGTGCACACAGCAGCAGCATTGATGGCTAAAGCAAAACATATTTGAGCTATACAGAAATCCATATTCCCTGAAACTTACCCTTCCCACCAACCTTAACTATTCTAATCCTAACCTGAGGCTAACCCCAAAATTGAAATCCACATGCAATGTTCAACCATATCTACATCTACCTATTTTGGCAAATATACTCACATGTCACTGTAATTGTGCCCACGTGACATGCCTTACTTGATAATTGTAATGCCACAAGCTAAACTGACTACTCTGCATGCCAACACAGACACACCTAAGGAAACAGGAATACATTCAAAATAGGCCACTACATTATGTCATCATACAGAATGATACACATCAAATCTTCAGGTGAGTAGTGCCTAGCCCATGTGCTTCAATCTGTGTGAGAGATTTACTAAAACTGGTGCACACCGAATCTGATGTAGCTGTGCATAATACCCAATCAGCTTCTGGGTTTTATTGTCAAAGTTTAATTGAACAAACTGAAGTTATAACCTGATTGGTTACTATGCACAGCTGCACCAAATTCTGTGTGCACTGGTTTTAGTAAATACTCCCTCCCCCCCCATGTTCAGCAGTATCTATTAGGTGTGGTGTGAATTTGTCCCCATATTTGTCTTGTGGTACTACAAGGCAACATTTATAAAGAAAAAAAAAATTAAGTAAGCATTAAAAAACCTGATTGTTCCCAGACTTATGTAGTGTACGTCCATGCACTCAACATTGTTTTATAACATGGCTGTGTGATATTTGCACAGCTATTATCCCCCCCTCCCCTGCTCCTATACTATAGAGTTTGATATGTAATCAAAGTCTGAGTGTAAATTACATGGTGAGTCATCAACATGTCCTAATATCACCTTATCATAGTCTATTCCGGGGTAGGCAACCTTTAGAGCATAGTGTGCCGAAGAATGTTTTCAAAGAAATTGAGAGTGCCAGTTATATAAAAATTGTCAACTTGACTCACTCAATCACAAAAAGGAATTTTTATACTGTAAATGCTGTAAACTCTTTGAATAATAGTAAGAAAACATTGAGCTTTTAAGGATGGTAAATGGTAACTTACTCTATTTCCAGAACACATGTGCAGAACACGTGCTGTGAGGCAAGTATGGTAAGATTGACATGAATATGTCAACCAAGGAAGTCTGCAAGATATACAGCTGGAAATTAAGTGTGTGGTGATAGTGGTCCCCCTAATAAAGTTCTCTCAGATCAAACCCAATCTCTGCACCTTCAGACCCTAAATCAGCACTCATTCCTGCACCTTCACACCTCAGAGCACCTCAATTCTGGCACCTCCAATCCTCAGATCACCCTAATTCCTGCACCTTTACACCTTAGATCACACCAATTCCTGCACCTTTACACCTCAGATCACACCAGTTCCTGCACTTTTACACCTCAGATCACACCAATTGCTGCACCTTTACACCTCAGATCACACCAATTCCTGCACCTTCACCCCTCAGATCACCCCAATACCTGCACCTTCACCCCTCAGATCACCCCAATACCTGCACTTTCAAACCCCAGATAAGCCCCGATTCCTGCACTTTCACACATCTGATTTGCCCCAATTTCTACACCTTCATATCTCCGTTCACACCAAATCCTGCATTTTGTACTCCCGACAGCCCCAATTCCTGTTTCTTCAGGCCTCAGATTAGCTCCAATTCCTGTACCTCCAGACCTCAGATCAGTTCCAGTTCCTGCATCTCCAGGTTTCAGCTTAGTTCCAATTCCTGCACCTTCACACCTCAGCTCACACCAATGTCTGCACCTTCACCTATCAGTTCATCCCAATGTTTCTACTTTTACACCCCAGCTCACCCCAGTTCCTGTATTTTTACACCCAGCACACACCAGATCAGCCAGAGTTCCTGTACCTTCACACCTCAGTTCAGCCCGAATTCCTGCACCTCCAGGCCTCAGATCAGCCCCAATTTCTGCACCTTCACACCTCAGATCACACCAATTCTTGCCCCTTCACCCCTCAAATCACCCTAACTTCTGCACCTTCACACCCCAGTCCACAGCAACAATTCCTGTGTCTTCAGGCCTCACATAAGCCCTAATTCCTGAACCCCCAGAAGTCTGATCACAATTTCTGCACCTTCACACCTCAGATCACTCCAATTCCTGCACCTCCACACCTCAGATCAGCCCCAATTCCTGCACCTCCAAGCCCCAGATCAGTCCCAATTTGTACACCTCCACACCTCAGATCACCCAATCCCTGCACCTTTACAACTCAGATCAGTCCCAATTTTTGTGCCTTCAAACCTCAGATCAGTCTCAATTTCTGCACTTTCACACCTCAGAGTGCCCCAATTCCTGAACCTTCGGACCTCATTTCACACCAATTCCTGCATTTTTACAACCCAGATCAGTCTCAATTCCTGTTCCTTCAGGCCTCAGATTAGTCCCAATTTCAGCATTTTCACGCCTCAGATCATGCACCTTTACACCTCTGGTCTTCTCCAATTCCTGTCCCCTTACAGCTCACCTCAAATCCTGCACCTTAAGGCCTCAGATCAGCCCTAATTCCTGCTCCTTCGTGCCTCAGATAAGCCCCAGTTCTTGAACCCAGAGAACTCTGATCACAGTTTCTGCACCTTCACACCTCAGAACAGCCCCAATTCCTGTTTCTTCAGGCCTCAAATTAGTCCCAATTCCTGCATTTTTCCACCTCAGATCACCAAAATACCTGCTCCTTTACATTTCTGATTACCTCCAAGTCCTGCACCCTTACAGCTCATATCACCCCAATTCCTGCACTTTGACATCCCAGATCAGACCCAGTTTCTGCTCCTTGAGGCCTCAGATCAGCCCCAATTTCTGCACTTTCTGGCATAAATGGACCAAGCCGTTTCCACATGGATGCTCCAGAAATTAACACCAGCCAATCCTCCAGTCAAGACAGCACCGCCTATACCAGGGGTCCTCACACTTTTTAAACAGGGGGCCAGTTCACTGTCCCTCAGACCGTTGGAGGGCCGGACTATAGTTTTTAAAAAAAAAAAAAAAACTATGAACAAATGCGGACACAGTACAGGAGATGACCAGAGACTGCGGACATACAACAGCGGCGGGAATACTGGGCCGGCCGCTCCATAAGACGCACAGACATTTCCCCCCAAGTGTGTCTTATGGAGCGAAATAGTGCCCCATCATTGGTGTCAGTGGGAGGAATCGTGCCCCATCATTAGTGTCAGTGGGGGGAGGAATAGTGCCCCATTATTGGTGTCAGTGGGGGGAGGAATAGTGCCCCATCGTTGGTGTCAGTGTGGGGGTGGGGGAATAGTGCCCCGTCATTGGTGTCAGTGGGGGAAGGGGATAGTGTCCCAACATTGGTGTCAGTGGGAGAAATAGTGTCCCATCATTGGTGTCAGTGGGAAGAATAGTGCCCCATCTTTGGTGTCAGTGGGAAGAATAGTGCCCCATCTTTAGTGTCAGTGGGAGGAATAGTACGTCATTGGTGTCAGTGGGGGGGAATAGTGCTCCGTCACTGGTGTCAGTGGAAGGAATAGTACATCATTGGTGTCAGTGGGGGGGAATAGTGCCCCATCATTGGTGTCAGTGGGAGGAATAGTGTCCCATCATTGGTGTCAGTGGGAAGAATAGTTCCCCATCTTTGGTGTCAGTGGGAGGAATAGTACGTCATTGGTGTCAGTGGAGGGAAATAGTGCCCCGTCATTGGTGTCATTTGGGGGGATAGTGTCCCAACATTGGTGTCAGTGGGAGAATAGTGTTCCATCGTTGGTGTCAGTGGGGGGGATAGTGTCCCAACATTGGTGTCAGCGGGGGGGATAGTGTCCCATCATTGGTGTCAGTGGGGGAAGCAATAGTGTTCCATCGTTGGTGTCAGTGGGGGCTGGAATAGTGCCCCATCGTTGGTGTCAATGGGGGGGGGGAGGAAATGCCCCATCATTGGTGTCAGCGGGGGGTGGAATAGTGCCCCATCGTTGGTGTCAGTGGAGGGTGGAATAGTGCCCCATCGTTAGTGTCAGTGGAGGGTGGAATAGTGCCCTATCGTTGGTATCAGTGGGAGGAATAGTGCCCCATCGTTGGTGTCAGTGGAGGGTGGAATAGTGCCCCACCGTTGGTGTCAGTGGAGGGTGGAATAGTGCCCCATCGTTGGTATCAGTGGGAGGAATAGTGCCCCATCGTTGGTGTCAGTGGGGGGAGGAATAGTGCCCCATCATTGGTGTCAGTGGGGTGGAGGAATAGTGCCCCATCGTTGGTGTCAGTGGGGGGAGGAATAGTGCCCCATCGTTGGTGTCAGTGGGGTGGAGGAATAGTGCCCCATCGTTGGTGTCAGTGGGGGGAGGAATAGTGCCCCATCGTTGGTGTCAGTGGGGGGGCGGAATAGTGCCCCATAATTGGTGTCAGTGGAGGAATAGTGCCCCATCATTGGTGTCAATGGAGGAATAGTGCCCCATCATTGGTGTCAGTGAAGGAATAGTGCCCCATCATTGATGTCAGTAGGAGGAATAATGCCCCATCATTAGTATCAGTGACACCAATGATGGGGCACTATTCCTCCCACTGACACCAATGACACGTAACTTGCTGGCCCCTACTCCAGCATGGTGCTACTGCAGCCAGCATATCTGGTTGCATCAGCTCAGCACACTTACCTGTCAGCTGTCCTTCACTCCGGCCTCTCTCTCACTCGATGTTCGCGAGGCCGCTCGGCTCTGCCTCCTCGCAGATAATTGGCCGCCTGTGTGCCTTTTCTGAGCTACAGTTCTGGCGCTCAATCACCAGTGAGGAGACGGAGCCAAGCGGCAGGAGTGAGGGAGTGGCTGAAGTGAATGAAGGAGCAGCGCTTCCTGGACTGGATCGTCGTGGGACTGGGACCAGAGCCAGGTAAGGTACAGCAGCCCCCTGCCCAACCCTGTACTTAGTGTCCCTTCCTGTCCCGCCCCTGCCGGCAGGCCTCGGTGGGCCGTGGTTTGAGGACCCCTGGCCTATACCATGCAGTACAATTGTGTTCCAATTCCTGCAGTTTCTAATTCCTTTTTCTATGGTGGTAGTTCCCAATAGAAGTTCTAAAGTAGTAGTTACCAAACCTTGGTTTAAAGCAGTAATTCCTTCTATTTGGACACCATGGTGAATGGCTACTACTGATTTTTGCTGCTGTTTTTGACACCTATGAACTTCTAGCTGCAGCCACTGAGCCTGTACAGTACACTTTTATGACAATTTGACGACCGCCGTAGCTATTTGTTGCTGTTCACACAACCGGCGATTACCTGTGGTGGTCACTGCTGAATGCACTCAAAGTGTATGTACAATAGCCATCACCGCAGGCAATCAATGACTGTGTGAACAGTCATGAATAGCTGCAGCACCCAATAACCTGTCATTATAGTGTACTGTATGGGCGTAGCAGCTAACTGCTCACTGATGTCAAAAATAGTAGCAGGGATCAGCAGATTCCTGCTGCTGAGATCCGTACTGCAGCTAAATTCTCTTGTGAATGTAGCCTAAATTAGTAGTTCCCAAAAGCTGTTATGTCAGAAAAGCCTTTAAAATCCTTCTTCCTCCACCTTTAGTCCTTCTTTGCATAGAGTTACACATAAAAGATTGCCGTGGAATTTTCAGTTTACGAATGAAAATCCATTGAAAATAATGCAATTTTTTTTCACAATACGAACGGATTAATTGGTTTTCAATGCATTTACAATTTTTTTTTTAATCATGTCCCTGTACAGTACTATGCCTTTAAAGTGCACTTCATAAAGAGTTTTGAACAGATAAGACTTTTTTTTACTTTTTTATGACTTCCGGAACAAATTAATTGATTTTCAATGCATTTACAAATATTTTTCTGTTTCAATATTTTTATTAGGAAAGTTTTGTTTTTTAAGAATATAACAAACTCAAAATACGCCCTCGCAGGGGCAGAGCAGAACAATAACACATAAACAGAGACATCCTGCTGACTTGTATTAGTCAAATAACAAAATGTCCAATGACATCAAGAAGGGACGGCAAAAAGCCGAACCAAATAGTAGCAGTAATCCAACATAATATCGGAAATTTTTTTTTAATCATGTCCCTTTATGCCTTTAAAGTGCACTTCATAAAGAGTTTTGAACAGATAAAACTTTTTTTGACTTTTTTCTGACCTCCGGAACGGACTAATTGGTTTTCAGTACATTTACAAATTCATTTTTAAGCATGTCCCTGTACAGTATTTATGCCTTTAAAGTGCACTTTATAAAGAGTTTTGAACAGATAAAAGACTTTTTTTTTCTGACCCCCGGAACGGATTAATTGGTTTTCAGTGCATTCCTATGGGAAACCGCATTTCGATTTATTAATTTTTTACAATATGATAAGTCCCACAGAACAAATTCAATTTGTAAACCGAGGTACGCCTGTATTTGAGTTTAGCAACTCCTGAGACCTGATTTTCATCTCTTCCATTAATGGTCCCATTTTTCGTACCTCCCTGCATCTTGGATGGATGTGACAGCATTTTTGACTGCTTCATGTTGGTTTTACAAGTAAAGTATACCTGTTACATATGAGCATTGTGTTCTGAAGAAGCGGTATTGACCACGAAACAAGTCATAACCAAATGTTTTATTCGACAGTTTGTACAGTATATCATACAGATATTGTATTCACAGAAAGATCTGTATTTTTAAAGATTTTTGCAATAAAAAATATTATATGTGTATTTTAATACTTGTGAGTTCTTTGTTGTTATACAGTCAGGTCCATAAATATTGGGACATCGACACAATTCTAACATTTTTGGCTCTATACACCACCACAGTGGATTTGAAATGAAACGAACAAGATGTGCTTTAACTGCAGACTGTCAGCTTTAATTTGAGGGTATTTACATCCAAATCAGGTGAACGGTGTAGGAATTACAACAGTTTGCATATGTGCCTCCCACTTGTTAAGGACCAAAAGTAATGGGACAGAATAATAATCATAAATCAAACTTTCACTTTTTAATACTTGGTTGCAAATCCTTTGCAGTCAATTACAGCCTGAAGTCTGGAACGCATAGACATCACCAGACGCTGGGTTTCATCCCTGGTGATGCTCTGCCAGGCCTCTCTTGCAACTGTCTTCAGTTCCTGCTTGTTCTTGGGGCATTTTCCCTTCAGTTTTGTCTTCAGCAAGTGAAATGCATGCTCAATCGGATTCAGGTCAGGTGATTGACTTGGCCATTGCATAACATTCCACGTCTTTCCCTTAAGAAACTCTTTGGTTGCTTTTGCAGTCTGCTTTGGGTCATTGTCCATCTGCACTGTGAAGCGGCGTCCAATGAGTTCTGAAGCATTTGGCTGAATATGAGCAGATAATATTGCCCGAAACACTTCAGAATTCATCCTGCTGCTTTTGTCAGCAGTCACATCATCAATAAATACAAGAGAACCAGTTCCATTGGCAGCCATACATGCCCACACCATGACACTACCACCACCATGCTTCACTGATGAGGTGGTATACTTAGGATCATGAGCAGTTCCTTTCCTTCTCCATACTCTTCTCTTCCCATCACTCTGGTACAAGTTGATCTTGGTCTCATCTGTCCATAGGATGTTGTTCCAGAACTGTGAAGGCTTTTTTAGATGTCGTTTCGCAAACTCTAATCTGGCCTTCCTGTTTTTGAGGCTCAGCAATGGTTTACATCTTGTGGTGAACCCTCTGTATTCACTCTGGTGAAGTCTTCTCTTGATTGTTGACTTTGACACACATACACCTACCTCCTGGAGAGTGTTCTTGATCTGGCCACCTTTTGTGAAGGGTGTTTTCTTCACCAGGGAAAGAATTCTTCGGTCATCCACCACAGTTGTTTTCCGTGGTCTTCCGGGTCTTTTGGTGTTGCTGAGCTCACCGGTGTGTTCCTTCTTTTTAAGAATGTTCCAAACAGTTGTTTTGGCCACGCCTAATGTTTTTGCTATCTCTCTGATGGGTTTGTTTTGTTTTTTCAGTCTAATGATGGCTTGCTTCACTGATAGTGACAGCTCTTTGGATCTCATCTTGAGAGTTGACAGCAACAGATTCCAAATGCAAATAGCACACTTGAAATGAACTCTGGACCTTTTATCTGCTCATTGCAATTGGGATAATGAGGGAATAACACACACCTGGCCATGGAACAGCTGAGAAGCCAATTGTCCCATTACTTTTGGTCCCTTAACAAGTGGGAGGCACATATGCAAACTGTTGTAATTCCTACACCGTTCACCTGATTTGGATGTAAATACCCTCAAATTAAAGCTGACAGTCTGCAGTTAAAGCACATCTTGTTTGTTTCATTTCAAATCCATGGTGGTGGTGTATAGAGCCTAAAATGTTAGAATTTTGTCGATGTCCCAATATTTATGGACCTGACTGTATGGATATATCGGTGGGCCACTTTTAAAAACGTTTTTTTTTTTTTTTTTTTAATTTGGTTTCTATTTTTGCAATGGGTTGGTGCCTCTCCGATATAATCTATTGATACTCCACCCCTGCTTTGTCAGCCTCACCTTTACACTTCCAATGTATTTCTTCTGTTACGCAATATTTACAAAAAATACATGGAAAAAAGATAAATTTTTCCTTTAACAAATAAAACACAATCAAACATGCCAACAGCAAAATAAACAGTAAAATAAAGAAACTGTCACGAAACCCAGTTTATGGTTTTCCATGTCTAGACATTTGCTCTTAGTCTGAGGTGACTTTTTTTAGTCTTTTTCAAAAGGTGTTTTAGGGTGAACAAGCCTGCAATGCACATGCAGTGAATTTCTCCTGTGCAAAAAAAGTAGTACTTTTTAATTGTGTTTAACCATTTGCCTACTGGGCACTTTTACCCCCTTCCTGCCCAGGCCATATTTCAGCTTTCAGCGCTGTCGCACTTTGTTTATGCAACACTGTACGCAAACAAAATTTTGATCTTTTTTTGAGACATATAGCGCTTTCTTTTGGTGGTATTTAAACACTGCTGGGTTTTTTTATTTTTTGCTAAAAAAAAAACTAAAAAAGACTGAAAATTTTGATATAAAATTTTGTAAATTCCTTTGTAAACTCCTTCACTGATGTGCACTAATGAGGTTGCAGTGATGGGAACTGATAGGCTGCACTGATGAACACTGATAGACAGCACTGATGGGTATTGACAGGCATCACTGGTGGGCACTGAAAGGCAGCACTCATATATGGCACTGACTGGCACTGATTGGAACTGTTAGGCTGCACTGACTGGAACTGTTAGGCGCCACTGACTGATACTGATTGGTGGCACTAACTGGCACTGATAGGCAGCACTGGTGGGCACTGAAAGACAGCACTCATATATGGCACTGACTGGCACTGGTTGGAACTG